TGTACATTTGCTGTTATGTTAAACTTATATTAAAGTTTTTCTTCATTACCCATTCAAGTCGTCTCCAACCATTATAAGTATCAGTAAATTGTGTGTATTTTTTGTGCTGTATATGTAAACAAACTGTCACGGTTCTTCTACCTGAACAAGGTTTAAACAGACATAAAGAAAGTCTGTAGTAGTGTATTTTTGTAGTGCATTTTCTTATAATTCTTTACGTTATTATTATAAGCGGAATAGTGCTGAAAATAAGCTTGGTGTTTTATCGGAGTCTATAATTCAGAAGGCCGGGCGTGGCTGAATGGTTAGTTTGTTGTTTTGTGTATCTGAGAGTCCCACGCTCGCGTCCCCGTTGCTAGAAAATCGCACCCCACACTTTGGGGCCCTGGATTTATCATAAGAGCGACGGGTAAACTACACTATTCAATTAGAGTAGCCCAGGATTTGTCATTGGGTGCTGCTTTCCATTTAGTCTATCAGATACTACTTCTGATAATTTTGTTGAGCGTCTTAAGGTTAGTTGCGTTATTGGTTCGTGACTCGTTGCCACTAAAAACGCGCTCCACATTTTGGGGCTGTCGGTACAGTATAAGAATGTTATAAATAATTCCATTATTCGTAAAAATTCCGAAACAGATAGATAAACGTTTGTCCTTGGTAGTGACATAAACTTTAATAGCAATGTGTCCCAGTTAGCATAAGTGAAATTTGTTGAAGTGAACGATTCATAAAATAATAAAGAGAAAATTTATATTTAATTTCGCGTTATTTTTTTTTTTTTGTTATTTTGTTAGATTGAGGATGTATATTTAGTATATTTGAAAAATTACAATCACTTTGAATGAAGAGTAACCCAAGAGTTGGCGGTGAGTGCTGATAACTAGATACTTTCCCTCCAGCCTACTATATCAAAATTATGGAAGACTATGCGCATACTGTGTGACTTTATATGAAAATTATGAAACAAACAAAGAAACAACCATCTTTATCTTTGACTCGTTGATTAACCCATTAGTTTAATTTATTGTAATAATTCGTTTCGTTTGTAAACTTGTTGACATAATCAATATGAAAATGTGCTAAATTCGTAACTAAAAAAAGTAATGATTTTGTTTTGTATAATAAGCTTCATTTCGACGTTGTGTAGGTGGCTGGATGAACGGATCTACTGTATAGGCTGTTAAAAACGACGACTGGTAGAATCAACGAAAGGGTGTTAACATAAAAATGTCTTGTAAAGTTTGAACAACTATGACGGATAAAACTTCGTGTTATGAGGAATCTCGATATTTTCCCACACACATAAGGAGCTTTCGGCGATCTGTTTACTGGAGAGGATCGAACCCCGGATCTTAATGTTATAAGTTCCTATCATACCGCTGATCCACCGGTGAACTAGTGAGAACAATACAAAACAAATTCTTTAACACACGGGACTTGAACTGTTGTCCAAGTCTGCGGACTTACAACGCTAGAATCCGGGTTTCGATACCCGTGTTGGGCAGAGCACAGATAGCCCATTGTGTAGCTTTGTGCTTA